AAAAAAAAAAAAAAAAAAGAAGCAGCAGCACCTTTATTAAAGATACCTTGTAAAAACTAGAACATTTGAGAACTTTTTTGCATTCATCATAAACAATAAGTGAAATTTTTATCTTTTCTAATTTAATGGATAACATCATTTACCAACTAGAAAATATCAGAAACTTCATTAAAATTGGATATAGCTATCAGTAAGTGAAACAAGGGCATTCTTAAATTGTTAATAGCTAGAAAATACATTTAGAGGTTGTATCCTTAGTACTTACTGATAATCCACCTCCCTGGTGTCCTGCTCCACTGTACTCTGTCCCAAGCTGCACTCCCAGCCCACTTAAATACAAGCAGCAGAACACATGTGTCTGTGGGCCAAGGAAATCACTAAGAGAAGAAATCGAAGATGGTGAAATATACTGTGTTGTGGGTAAAATGTTTCCCTCTAAAAATCATAGTTGATTTTCAGTTTCTAATTGACAGCAAAAATGGTAGTTATCATGGCTTGACCCTAAGATTATTTTTTTTATTTTATTTTTTTGTACTGGGGATCAAACTCAGGTCCTTGCGCTTGTGAAGAAGCAGGAGGTAGAACCACTGAGCTAAATCCCCAGCCCTGACCCTAAGATTGATAGATGGAATAGTGTTAGCATAGTAATAGAAAAAGTATGTCAACATTAGAAAAGAGAATATGGAAATATAACTATTGACCTTTTAAAAATTAAGATATGACCTTGAACTTCAAAATACCAAGTAAGTCATTTAGTAAATGCATGTTCTCTATTGTAATTCTTTCTATATCAAATCTGTTACATTTGGAGAATGAAGTAAAATAATAAAAGCTAACAACAATCTTGGCTAAGCCGGGCAGGAGAATCATTGCAAACCAGCCTGGCTAATACTAGACACCATCTCCACAGCAAAATTAAAAAAAAAAAAAAAAGAGATTGTTATGTATTCTTCATCTCTTGCTCCGAGGTAGCCAGTATTAGCTTTGTATTCTAATGAGATAATTCACATAAAAACCTACTTACACAGCCAGGGATTTATTTACCTCAGTGGTTCAGGCACCTGCTTTGCAAGCACAAGGACCAGAGTTTGATCCCCAGTACCAAAAAAAAAAAAAGAACTACTTATACAAACATTTCAGTATTACAATGAAAAAGAAATTCAGATACTAAATACATAAAAATTGACTATTAAAATAATTGCCAATTTTTATTAAAAATAATTTCATTATTTGTTGCAATACTATGTGTATATAGTCTTGGGTAGTATCTGGGAAAAAAATCACATAGGGTAGTAATATCAACCATGTGAAAGAAATACATGTCAAATGTAGAATATAGAACCTTTCAATTTTGTATTTTAAAGTCTAGAGGCAAATGAATATTAAATTTATTAAAGCCCCCTGGCTCTTCTTTGAATTATCATCACAGTTGGTTTTTTTCCCTCAGCTAACTCAATGTAGAGTTTTTATCTTGTGATTTGTCTGATACACAGTTGTTTCAAGTGGACCTACATGTATGTATACAGCTATGTATGCCTTTCTCTTCCTACGCACAACCCCAGACTTCTCTTTGCTGCTAACATTAAATGCATATTGATACTGACTTGAAGTGAGAGAGCATGTGGGCTTCTCTTTCTGAAACGGGGCTTGAAAATGTAATTCATTGCATTTTCCTTTAATTCAGTGTTTGTGTTAATTTGATTTGTAGTACATAATGTATTTTTACAGATTTAAATGACAACTGTCCCATACCCAAATATAGTTGGTTTCTGAGCATCAGTTGAGTTCTTTCTAATTAATAATGTAGTTTTAGGCATTCCTCTGCAAGCTCTTTCATATTTTAAGTGACCTCCAGGTTTTTTATTTGTTGTTTTGGGGTTTTATTTTTGTTTTTATTTCTGTTTTGCGGTTTGTTTTTGTTTTTTTTGCACTGTAGCAGTTACTAAATGTCAGTGAAATCAAGAATTGATTAGTATTTAGAAAAAGAGAAATTAGTTTTGTAACTGACTAAAAAATGATTCTTGGATTCAATTACATAGTGAACTAATATATATTGTTCACTGGAATCCCTATGTTTTAGCTTTCTGAGATGTTCCCTGATTCTTTTCACCCAAAATATTCTCTAGGCTCTCATAATAAAAGTGTAATTGCTGTTGTATCTGTGCTGAGGTTAAACATCTATTTCTTCTTTTACCTTTGTGTACAAAACCACTGTGAAGTTTACGAGTTGCACCTACGTGAGACCATCCTGAATAACTGATTGAAGAATGAAAAGTGCTGCTTATGGAAGAATTTCTTTCTTTTGGATTGTAGTATTGATGTTATACAAAATAGGCAGCTTTCCAGTTAGGGTTCTCTAGTCACTTCAGGCTCTGGAGTTTCAAATGTTCCCTAAGTTTGTGAGCAAGTTTATCAGAAAGATGAAGCAGGTGTTGCTTAGTTGAAGGGAACTTTCCAGACTAGGAAATTAAAGGATGATGTAATAGAAATAGAGAATGTGGAATTGAAAAGAGGCAAGGTACCTACTTCAAGAGGGCAGGCTGATGTTAAAGTACTTGAGGGGCTTATAAGCCCTGTTTTGGAGTCACTCTGCTGTTGTATGGAGAATGGCTTAAAGGTGAGCTGGAATTTATATTTACCAGAAGCAGGGCAGTGGTGCAGATGAGAGAATGTTGACTTTCAGCAGAGCGATAGCAGAAATGGAGCTAATTAAGTTAATGGATATAAGAATTCTTTAGGAAATAAAACTAGCAGCATATTCTAAAGCAGTTTCAGGGATAACATTTTATAATACCTAAATGGAACTCCTTTTAAGAAAATCTTTTATTTTTTGTGTGTGCTACAAGTTAGCCGGTTTTAAACAGTCTTGTGTTATTCTTAATGGTGATAGCCTTGTTTTTAAAAGAGTTAACCTGTTTTCTCTCCTGTTAGTGACAAAGAATTTAAATGAGAAAAGATCAGCCAAATCCTCTGAAATGTCTCCAGTGCCTATGAGGTCAGCAAACCAAATGGTTAAAGCCCACTTGCATCAGCCCCACAGAGTAAGCCAGGTGCTTCAAGTGCCAACTGTTAATTTGCACCCGATAAGGAAGAAAGGACAGGCAAAAGACCCTGTGCTGAGTGAGTATATTCTCAATTGATATTATATACTTGTAATTAAAATTTCCAGAGTAATTAGAGTGACAGTGAATTGCAAATGCTTGGAGCATATGATCACTACATAAATGAGAAAACATTTTGTTCTGCCTCAAGAGATGTGTTTTAAATGCTGATTTTTGAAATATCTGTAATGCTGAAATCTGTTTATCAACATAAAGCTTAATATATCTGGTGCCCACCTGTGATCCCAGCACTCAGGAGGCTGAGACAGGAGGATCACTGATTTCAAGACCATCTGGAGCTACATAGTGAGTCCCAGGTCGGTCTCAACTATGTAGTGAGACCCTGTCTAAAAAAAAAAACAGTATATCTTGGGGATTTGCATTAATCTTGGGCAATACATTAAGGGTTTGCTGCATTCAAAAGTATATTTAATCAAATATCTAATGCAGATATAACCTATAAAAACTGAGAATCAAGTTGCTTATTAGGAAAGTGACTGTACTTTTTTATTAATGGTCCTTTTTGGAAACCTAGTTAGGAGACCGAAGAACGTGTAATGTATGTATAGACCATACCTTTTTTTCCTCCTTTGGGCCCCGTAGATTTATGAATTACTTTTATTTATTGTTTTAACAATATCACTATTTTTATTTGTAGATAGAAATCAAGATTAGATTTGGTTCCTAGCATTATTACTTAAACATTAAATGTAATACGTACCTATATATTTAGTATAAGTTTATGAATTTGATTTGAGAAAGTTGATTAAGTCCTCCTTTGCCAGATTTTTAATCTGGTAATATAGACACATAAACAGATAACTTCAGTATCATGTGCTTGCTTCTGTGCCAGGAGTATATACACACAACATGTTTTTTTTAAAAAAAATAAAACAGGACACTTTTTCCAGAGGCAGAAGAAAGGTGGGACTTTAGGAAAAGGCTTTTGGAGAGAATATTCCCAGCCTCTTGTGTTGATGACAGAGTAGTGATTAGGCAAGTGTTCTAGAGGAGTTGCGTCCAGCAGACGCAGCAGCTTGATGTATGCAGGGAGCTCCAAGTTCTTTGATGGGCTGCAAACCACATGCAGAGTTGGTGACCATAATAAGTGAAGCTAATGCTTAGTACTTTATGAGTTCCAGGCACATTTCACAGTTCCTTGCTAACTTTATGGTTTCATTTACTGTTCATAATAATCCCGTAAGATATGTAGTGTTTTACCTTCATTCTACACAGAGTATCAATAGCTTCCTTGCTACTGTAAGTGATCAGGCAGGGAGTGGAGTGGCTCTAAAGTTATTGCCTTTAACCTCTGTCCTTCCAGGATGATGGGAAGTGAAATTATGTTGAAATAATACTGTGCTGGGCTAAACACCCAGTCTTCAGTGAGAAGTCATTAAAGAGATTTGACCAGAAGAACATTATGGCCCAAATTATGTTTAATAAGAACTATGGTAGGGGGTGTACAGCAAGACAGGAAGTCATGTAACAGTTGGCTGGAATTATTCAAGGCCTGGACTAGTTTCTGATCTATGAAAATGAAAAGTGAATTGGGTTAAAAATTGGCAAAGTCAACAGATTTCTTAGGAGTGAGTTAAGAACTGATTTAGGTCTGATTTCTTATAGTTGAGGCATCATCACATGAGAGCAGTATGATTTGTAGGTAGCTTTTCTTTCATGACATAGCATGGATATTATCTATGGATAATATTTAATAATAATAATAATTGTTTGTATTAAAACTATTCACCTAGTATGGGTATACTGTGATTAAAACTTTTTCATCAAAGGGCTGCTTGTAGGGGCCGGGGATTTATCTCAGTGGTACTATGCCTGCCTGGCAAGCACAAGGTCCTGAGTTCGATCCCCAGTTTTAAAAATATATATATTCTAATAGATGTCAAAAGGCTGCTTGTTACTATGCCAGATCCCTAGAACTGTGCTTACTTTAGTAAAAACAGTGTTAGTAGCTCTTTCACATTTCTTAGCAAAGCTAAATGTAAAAAGTCAGTATTTTGAAATGATTGCTAAATTAAACAGGGCCAGCCAGTTATGGTGGTGCACGCCTGTAATCCCAGCACTCAGGAGGCTGAGGCAGGAGGATCACGATGAGTTTAAGGCCAGTCTGGACTACATAGTTGAGTACAAGACCAGCCTGAACTATAGAGTGAGACAAGACCCTACCTTTAAAAAAAATAAAATAAAACAGGGCCAGCTGTTGAATAAGTATAATGATAGAACTTCACAAAAATGTTTCCAGTGGGCTCCATATATTACTTTTCTATAAATTCATAATTCTTTCTGTTGTTTACTTCTCTTCTGTAGTGTGAATTTAGTGTTCTTAAGAGGGCTGGACTGGCAGCCCTGCAGCCTCTCCTGTATGCCCACAACACAGATGCGCCAAAGGTAGTGACAGTGCCAGCATTCCCACACTGCCCCACCACATGCCTTGTTCTACTGTGGAGAGGCCACCTCTAGAGGGGAGGGAAGAGTGTGAATCTGTCTTTTTTCTAAAGATTGCAAGCCAGTGTGTCAATTATGGGAGGTGGGGTGCTATTCTCAGACTGTTAAATTGATTTCCCTTGTGCCGCAAAATAATTGATTATAATTGGTCCGTGCTGACCAGCTGAATTTGAACTTAAAACCTAGAGGTGAGAACCTCTGTGTGTCATTACACAGTACATTTCAGTTGACTACACTAGCCATTGTGCATCAAAGCTTTAGTTCTGTAGTGATTTAGGCAGTGACCGACATTTTCATTGTGAAATGATATTTATAGCTTCTTTGGTTTTGTTTCCAGGTACAAGTTTACCTCAGAAAGTTTTGGGACCAACTGAAGAAATAAGTGGTAAGAAACATACAGAAGACACGATTTCTGTGGCGTCATCGATACATTCTAGTCCTCCTGCATCTCCTCAAGGTTCCCCTCGCAAAGGTAAGAAAAACTTTTTCAGGTTGTTTGATCAGGCAACACTTTTCAGCATGCCTTTTGCTTTTCAGTCTGTGAGCAAGTAGTAGAAGGTATTTTAGTAAAGTGTAACTGCTAAGGTTTAGTTTTTGAACTTTGATGTTTCATATGGAATTACTTGAATGCTTTTCAAGTATTACGCATCACGTAACTAGGACTCCAGTATTCAAAATGTGTTTCTTCTTTGACAGAAAAAGCATAGATAAACATATAGTCAGAAGGTGCGGTTGCTTTGGTCTGTGCTGGCTCTCTCTCTCTCTCTCTCTCTCTCTCTCTTTTAAATTCATTAAGTTTATTGGTACATTTTGGATATACAATATGATGACATTCATCATTGGGAATTTGTACCTTTACACAATATGTCTTCGTTCTTATTCTCTGCTGGTTCTTCATGTTATCTTTCTTATTTTCTATATATCAATCTTTGGAGGATTTGCAAATAATTTCTATAAAAATTTTTAACTACAAGGTATAGTAAAAGAAATATAACTAGTATTGGTGTTTTCCATTTTTTTTAGTAACAGGATATTATCTTTTATTTTTCAAGATTGAAATAACATATACCCTTACAGATTTTTACATTGATAGTTATACTGAACTTTGTGAGGTAAAAACAGTTCAAAACTGTTCTTGTTCTTTTACATGCGTTTTTTTTGCAATCGAGACTGAAGCCTTTCTTGGCTGGCTTGGCCAGTGCATGGAGAGGCTGTTTCATGTTGATGGGCTTGTAGGATTCTGAATAGTATTTCTTACTTTGGCACCTCGTACTCTGTGTACCCTGGGAGAAGGGCATCCTAGTTCTGGGATCTTTTTTGCAGATGTGAAAGAATTACATCTTTGAATACCACCGGACAGTGCATGGTCAGAGAGGAGACAAACTTGTTAATTTTAGAGCTTGCCTCAGCTCCCACATTCTTGGTTTCCTCTCACTTCCTCAGGACTCTTTCTTATTTTTACCATCCGTGTGGCAGTGATCCTCACTATCCCTTGTTATACCTGTTACTATGTAACCCATTTATAAGGTGAGGTTTCCTCTCTGACAGGTTGAGGAAAAGACCATCTATTTTAGGTCTTCATATTATGTTAAAACGAAACAGGATTTACAAAGCCTAGTATGTGTATGTGGTGAGTAACAATTTAGTTTCTCTTCCTCTCTGCTGCCACCCCAGGGCAACATAGCTCCGTTGCTCCCCTGTCTGTTTGACCCTCACAGAGCTGGGACTAGCTAGAATTTTAAGATTCTACTACAGAAAGCTTTGTGAATGTAAAGTAGGACATAAAACAGTATATATATTTGTGTATTTCAAAGATACACCTATTACATATATGTGTGTGTGTGTGTATATGTGTGTGTGCATATATATATATATATATACATTAGCTGAATAACATATAGATTTGTTACTTTTATAGTGATGAAATCACTTAATTGTAAGATTTCTGTATGCTATTTATATTTCTATAGCTATTACTTCCTATTGTTTATAACTTTTACATTTCTCTGAATATTATGTTAAATAAAATGCACCAAAATGGCCATTTATTGCTTTCAGTATTTGGTTACACAAATACACACACATGCACACGCACCCACATGTTGTGGCTCCTCCCTTAAGATTTTGTGAGGCACGCATACCTGTATCTTCGTTTTTTCTGCCAAGTTTTCATCTGCCTTGTCAGATCTTACGTAAAACTGGTAGCCATACTGCAGCCAGACAGAGACATCATGAACCGTGCCCACGTGTTGGTAAAAAAGCATGTGACACCCTTCGCCCCTTGTGGAGACCCTTTCTGGGTCCATCCCATTATAGACAGTTCTGTAAACAGGGAACTGCTGCACTGGTCTGATTGGGTGTTTTATGTCTGTCTGTGACTTAGGGAAGGGGGTGTCAGGGATAAGAATACTACCCTCATTGTTCTTATTGCCAGCAGGAAACCCACTCTCAGCACTGAACTAGAGAGGTCTTTTCTCCATTGTCTTCAGTGTGTAGCTAACAGTTGACTAATGTTTATAAATTTATGAACTTGTCATAGTCTTGTTTAGAATCCTTAAGGGCCAGAGGAAATTCTTTTTTCCAACACTTTTTCAGGTTGTTACATATCTTCTATTAAAACCCCAACTAAATGTAGTAGTATCTCTCCTGTGGAGAGATTTTGCTAATTGTCCGTGGTCTGTGTGATGACAAAAATGTCACTGCACTAAATGTATTTTATCAGGATCTATTCTGAGTTCTGGCTAAACTTTGAAATTAGTTGTTTTTATACAATTAAGGAAGTGGAACTATTCCATGTTTTTCACTAGGAAAATGTAAATAAGAACTTTAAAAAAGAAGTCAGGATTGCTTATGAAAGGCCAGCTCTCCACCTCAGAGGCACAGAACCATCAGAAATGTTGCTGTATAGGGGCTGGAGATTTGGCTCAGTGGTTCCACTGTCTGCCTTGCAAGCATAAGGGCCTGAGTTCGATCCCTGGTACCACCAAAAAAAATAAAAAATGTAAGATATATTGCTATATGAATACACCTATTACAGACAGTGTTGGTGTGTCCTCTTTGGTTTATTTTCCATGGTGATTAGAATTGAACGCAGGGTCTCATGGCATTCTAGACAACTTTTCCACCACTGAGCTACATCCCATTCTGTCTGGTTTTTATTAAACTTTTTATAATAAAATCTGCCTGAAAGTCCTAGGAATACATAATTTTTTGAGAAATAGTTGTGGTTATCTGATATTGTCATTTTCCCTTATAATTTTACTAGCTTAGCTTGTTTTCAACAGAATTTTTATCACCAGTTTATTCTGCTCCAGGTAACCTTTCTCCTGTGTTCTGTCATGTAATAACTGTTATGTTTATGCTGCATAGTAGATTTTCTGTGCATTAAAAAATGTTTCTAGATTTTAATATTTTAGATATTGTCAATAATAATAAGCTTTAAATAGTGAAATGTTATCTATTAGCCAGGCTAATTGTGATTAATTGACTATGTCAGAGTTTTTGCCTCTCTCCCTCCAGTTGGCAGTGTCCTATCTGATCACAGCATCCTGCTGCGCCTCACAGGGTCCTCCTCAGCCCCTCCCTGTGCATCCAGCACCAAGATCAGTGGCCAGAGCTGCCCCGGAATAGGCGGGGTTTACTTGCAAAAGAAAATCCTTCAGATTACCAGGAGCACAGCCAAAAGAACAGACAGGACCAAGAAGGCCACTGAGGAGGATAGAGACAGGAGAAGTTGTGAGAACACAACCAGGAAAAGAATGACATCCCCGTTTAGAAGATTTAGGGAAAGAACCCTTTCAAGGGAGAGACTAGTCAACAGCCAAAAAGAGGACCCAGATCACCATCAAGCTACAGACAGCTGTGGGAAAGTGAAGGATGTTGGGAGCAACATCACAGATGAGAAAGGGAGTGACACCTGCCATTCAAATAGCCGAGGCGACAGTAATGCTTTAAACTGCTTCTATATGCGAATCAAGTCTAAAAGGAGAAAGACGATCTGACCAGGTTCCTTGTTTAATTTTAGTATTGAAGTTTGTTTTCAGCTGTTAATGTAAATGTAGTTAAAGTAAACCATTTGTCAAAGGTTGGACAGATAACTTAAGCATTTTATTATTAGTATTGCAGATTCTCTGGCAACAAAGACTGATTTAAAGTGCCTTATCTGTACATGTTGTTTTACTAACATATTGAGGTAGTAAAACTTTATGCTCTTGTTTTCTGTAGTTGGCTTTATTTTCTACTAATAGCATTTGAATCTGAGTGATATAAGTACAGGAAAAATCAGTGCTCACTTTAAGCACAAAACCTCCAGTGGTCTTGATTCTCACCTTTGCCTCACAATTTTATTGCCACCTTAAAATATTTCTGATGCATCATAAGCTAATGGACAAAGATACTTTGGGGCAAGAAATTGCCTCTTTTCTACATACTGTTTTTATTTCATCTATTCTGCATATACCTCTGGTTGGGGAACGATGAGTTAGTAACAGCAGGTCCAAAATCATCTGGAAAAGTTCGTGCAAAATGCAACTATTGCCAAGTGTAGAGGTAATCCCAGCACTCAGAAAGCTAAGGCAGGGGGATCATCCCAAGTTCGAGGCCAGCCTGGGCTCCACGGTGAGACTGTCAGTCAGTCAATCAATAAATAAATGAAGGCCAGGTGTGGTGGCACATGCCTGTAATTCCTGCACTCGAAAGGCTGAGGCAGGAGGATCACTGTGAGTTCAAGACCAGCCTGGGATACATAGTGAGTTCCAGGTCAGTTTCAACTACATAGTGAGACCCTGTCTCAAAAAAACAAAAATTAAAAAAATAAATAAATAAATGCATACATACTTATACAAGCCAACATTCAGTAGCTGGACATGGTGGCACATGCCTATGATCCCACCACTGTGGAAGGCTGAGGCAGGAAGATCACAAGTTTGACTCCATCCTGGGAAATTAACAACAAGACCCTGTCGCAGAGGCAGGTGGAGATAACTCTGTGCGAAGGCCCTATCTGCAATCTCTAGTGCCACCAAAATTTAAAAGTTATGTCCCACCCCAGACCTCATAAATTTGAATTGTCAGAAGTGGTCCCCGGAATGTGTATTTTAATAAGGTTTCCAGGCGGTTCTTAGAATTCATGGTATTTCAGAAATTTTATTCTTACAGACGTAAGAATAAAATTATTTTTGAAACACCAAAGCACATCTGTTCCACAAAAGCAATGCTTTTTCATTTGAGGAAGGCCTTTTGCTATTGCTTTGTATTAACCACATGCATTTTTTGATCCCTTTGAAAAGTGAGTAATCATTGTATAGGCCCTGGCAAAGAGCAGTGACCCCCTCCCCCAACCTCAAAGATATATGGTAGAAATCAGGAGACTAGTTTCTCCCCTTTTTTGCTTTTTTTTTCCCCCGGTACCAGGGATCAAACTCAGGACCTTGCCCTTGCAAGGCAGGTGCTGCACCACTGAGCTAAATCTCCTGCCCTCTGTTTTTTGGCTCCAGAAGCTAAGTAAAAAAAAACACACATTTTCTGGGTCTTGATTTTTCTCGTTGAAATAGTTAAACTCTTAAGAAGAGTATTGTGCAAAAAAATGTTCTTTAATGGTTGAGTAATCCGTGTAAACTGTAAGATCCTTATATCAGAAGGAGGACCTTGGATTTTAGGTTATCTTCCTCCTTACTCATAAAGAAGTGGGGACCCTGAGAATTCTTGGAAGTTATTCAGTGCCTCTAGTTCTCTTTAATGAAATTTCTAGAGAGCGAGCCAAAGATTTTATAGTTTTGAACCTTGGTGAGTTCCTTTTGTGAACATGAAGGTATTGTTTACTTCTTAAGAGACCTACCCCTTGTTGGGATTACTTAGTCACTATCTTTTATTTCTAAACAAAAGCTTGATTTCTTTCAGTTATTAAAATAGACTGTTACGCACATTTAACCATCATGCTGCAGATTTGTTTTGGAATCCTTTCAGCTCATTCTATCCCTACTCCTTTATCCCACAGAATACAGAAGAAAACAGAAGTTAAAACATGTAGATGCTGGGTTTTTTTCAGTATACATCATTTTAAGTCATCGTTTCAGCTGTTTAATATTCTGCAAAGATGGTGAAGTAAAACTAGGTATAAAATTAGGAACAAATTTTAAATAATCTATTTAAAAATACTAACACAGAGCTGAAAGTGGAGCATTTGCTTAGCCTATGTGATGCCTTGGTTTCTGTCCTTAGCTTTGCAAAAAATAGAAATAAAATTTAAAATGCTGAAACAAGGGCAAGACTTGTTAGGTGGCATAAGCAGAATATCTGGAGTTTAAAAATGAGTATGTAGTTTAAAAATGAAAAATGCAGCCCTTTCAGGCCTCCCTCTTGTCTCTACCCTCAGTAGCATTTTGGATTCAGTTCAGGCTGTGAAATATGTTCATTAAAGGAGGGGGCATATGGTTACAAAGTAATGTTTATAATATATTTAATAACTTTATTAAATACTTGTAGCTCTGTGAGAACTTGGGCAAGATATATCTTTGGACTAGATTTCTTAGTAATAATGAATTTTGACTTTGTTTTTCTTGAACTGTATTGGTTTGGTGTAGCTAGTTAGATGAATGAGTGTGGAGAACTGTGTGGGAGGAATTGGCATCGTTACATCTCGGTAATGGAAACTGAGATTGCTACTACTTTGTCTTTTGTTTTTATTTTCTCTTTATCCCCTCCCTGACTACCCCATCACCCATTTTTGTGCCTTGTAGTTTGATCAGTGCTCTTTTCTTGTCCAGGTTATACACTTACACCATCAACTAAATCTGACAACTTGTCTGACTCCAGCCACAGCGAGATTTCTTCACGGTCCAGCATTGTGAGCAACTGTTCTGTTGACTCCATGTCTGCAGCTCTGCAGGATGAGCGGTGTACCTCCCAGGCTGTGGCCGTCCCTGAACCCACTGGGACGTTGGAAAAGACAGAGCACCCCTCAGGGATGGGAGACCATGGTCATCTTGGACCTGGGTAAACGTCCTTGGCTTTTCCACAAAGCACTAGCCAAAGGCCATCACAAGCCATGCTTCCCAGCTGTGACCTTCATCCTCCCGCTTGGGGTAGTAGCAAGGCCAAGCACAAATTCTCTGTACCAAATGTGGAAATAAGTACTATTTGAAAGATGGGGATACTCCCCGCCCCCGTGACACCCTAGCCCTTTATTTTTTATTTTGAGACAGTGTCGGTCTTGGTCCCTAAGTTGCCCAGTGTGATTTTGCGATCTTCCTGCTTCAGCTTCCCAGAGTGCCATGATTACAAACATGCATCATCACACTCCGCTTAGGTGCTTATTTTTAAATAGTTGCTGAATTCAAATAGTTTCCTATCATATTTTTCAATCAATAAGAACTCGGAGTGTGCTTGCTACTGATAGGAGAAAGATGGTTCTTAAAATCTTGGCTGTTAGGTTACAGGTTGCCCAAAAGCTGTGATGTAAGAAGTGCTCCCCAGTGTTGTGTGTTATAGACAGGCTGGGAGAGTAGTACCAATCCTTAATCCTTATTCTCTGAAGTTAGTATTTGGAGAATAAAAATAATCAGCTAGCAAAGGTTAATTTTTTAAAATCTCCAATTCTAAATTTCTGTTCAGAAGAAAAATGGAAATCTTTAGGAAAGTTAATTCTAAACTGATAAATATTGTTAAATCTGTTCTGCTGTAATATGCCGTAGTTAAGATATACTGATGTATTATTATATTTGTAAAGGTTTCTAAACAGTGATTTCATAGGCCCAAGATGATCAACGTTCTCCTGTAAAAGAGAGCAAATATTTTAGATTTCACAGGGCACGACATCGGAAACAAATACAGAAACAAATGGGCCCCCTGCGTGCAAGTACAACTTTATTTATAGAAATGAGCAGAAACCCAAATTTGACCCTGGGCTGTAGTTTGCTGAGTTCTATGCTGTACTATAAATCAGTATCCACAAACTTTTTATGAAGAGCTAGATAGGAAATATTTTAGACTGGCAGGCTGTATATGGTCTCTTTCACAAATTCTTTGTGCCGTTTTTGTTGTTGTTGTTGTTGTTTTCATTTTATTTAAATGCTTTAAAAGATAAAAACCAGTTTTTGTTACAGGCCGTACCAAAACAGTCTCTTGGCTAGATTTAGCCATGTGCCTTAATTTGGAGATCCTTGGTATAAATGATGAGACCCATCTTGTAGGTAGCTAAGAAAGATGCTGTTTGCTTGGCACTGTCTTACGCGGCTAACCTCAGGTGTACATCAAAATAAAACATGATTCATCAAGTTGAGCTCTTAATTTTGTATGCATAGAAGATAGTATCAAAGGTGAAATTTTGCTCTTAATTTTATTCATTTCAAACTTCATCTTTGTTTTCATTTAAAATCAGCTTACCGGGTGGTGTGGCACTCGGCTGTAGTGCCAGCACTTGGGAGGTTGAGAAAGGAGGATCGCTGAGTTGGAAGCCACCCTGAGCTACATAGTTCAAGGCCAGCCGCCCCCAAAAGAGACCCTGTCTCCAAACAAACAGACAAATAAAATCAGTGTAAAATTTCTTGAGAAAAATCTTGCCTTAGTATTAACTTTTCTTCAGTGTATGTTGCCATCACTGTGTTCCTATAGTTTTTTGTAGGTGGTAGGATTTGCAGTATTAAAGAACAAAGATTTTCCAGTAAGCCAATAAATTACTTTCAATTGTGTATTATCTCCATTTTTAGGTGGACACTTTCAAAGCCATCTCTAATCAAGGGTTTACCTGTCGCGTCTTCTATGAGCAATGAAGAGATTTCTCATGAGCATATTATTATAGAAGCAGCTGATAGTGGTCGTGGAAGTTGGACTTCCTGTTCAAGCAGCTCCCATGACAACTTCCAAAACCTTCCAAACCCCAAAAGCTGGGACTTTCTGAACTCCTATAGACATACCCTTTTGGATGATTCCATTGCTGAAGTTGAATCCACTGATTGTGAGCCTTATTCCTGTCCTAAAGGTTGCTCTAGAACTTGTGGGCAGTGTAAAGGAAGTTTAGAGACCGATCAGTTGAGACAGAGTTGGGCCTCCTCCAGTTCTCTGTCTGACACATATGAACCAAACTATGGGACAGTTAAAAGGAGAGTTTTGGAGGCTACCCCCGTCGAGTCATCGGACCCACTTTATAAAACAGTCACTTCAAGTACAGAAAAGGGATTGATTGGTAAGTTCTGTGTATTATTATACTGTATCTTTCGCACTTAGAAATTGTAGCCAAAAAAACTGATGTTAGGATATCTTAGCCTTGAATTTCATTCTTGGAAAATTTTGTTCACTCATTCCACTCTTTTTTTTCTTCTGTAGAAAATTATTTCCCCCATATTCAAGACTGAGGAGCTTTAGGGCAGATACTCGAGCTGTTAAAATGAAAAGTCTGTTGTTAAAGTATATAATTAAAGGGACAAGTATGTCCTATTTTTAAAACGTTTTTGTTTCATTGAGGAGTATCACATTGCTATCCAGCAGTAATAAATGAATTGTTCTCTTTTAGCACCTCATAAATTTGGGGGGGTCACAATTACTATTCATACCTGATAAAAATATTGAATCTTCAGTTGCTTTTAGGGGAGAAAAATGTGATAAAGAAATTCAGAATGGTCTTAGTGGTAGACTGTGTGCTTAGCATGCACAAGTCCCTGGGTTCGTTCTTCAGCACCACAAAATGGAAAAAAATGCAGGAACTTTTCATTATAGCTTCCCTGGTGTATATCATGAATGTGTCAACTAAAATGTATAGATTGCATTCTAAGCTACTTAGTATATGTTAGCCATCAGATAGTACTTGAAAATCATTCTGTGAACTATAAATACTTGGATACACAGTAATGGCCCCTACTTTCTTATATAGAATGGCTATATGCTGAATCAGTATTATCTTGATCAACTCTTAATTTCTGTATTCATGCTATCACATTTAATCGCTAAAATTATAACACATGTACTGATTTTGTTGTTACTTGTCACATTGGATTATAGAATGAGTTTTTAGTTTATTCATCTTTTTTTTTTTTTGGTTTTTTTGTTTTTTGTTTTTTTTTTTTTTTTTTTTTTTTGGTTTTTTGAGACAGGGTCTCACATTGTAGTTGAGACTGACCTGGAGCTCACTCGAACTCACAGCGATCCTCCTGCCTCAGCCTCCCAAGTGCTGGGATTACAGGCATGCGGCACCATGCCCACCCACTTAGTCATCTTTTCTAAAGATAGCTTTAGTACACCTTTTAATGAACCACTTTAGGGACATATAAATCTGTGTACAAGGACACAAAAATTTTTCTCTGGTCCATTTGGGACTGTAGATTTTAAAAACTTTTCATTTCTTGGGCAAATCACATTTTTTTATTGCTGAGTTCTACATCTCCAACCCTTTTTCTTTCGTTTCTTTTGGTGGTGGTGGTGGAGGGATTGTAGACTTGCATCACCATGTCCTGCTTACGTTCTTCTTTTCTCCTGACATTTCTCCCACCATCGTCTTGTCCTGCTTACTTGTCCTCAGATGGACATGGAATTCTTTTCTGACCTTGATACTAAGTTTTACTGGTAGAACTGCAGAGATTTAAATATAGACAATCCAATTCTCTAGCGAAGGAGTTAGTGTTAGAATTATTTAATGGTCTGTTAAAAGTATACTGCTTTTGTATATGCAGTTCTTTTGTTTGTTTGAAAAGTCGCTTGCATAATCAAGATACTCAGAGCCATTTGTCCTGCAGGTCCTGTGGATTCATTTTAAGGGCATGCAACTTCTCTTACACCTATTTCTAATAGTTTTTGAAGTCCCAAGATTTACAGACTTGGGGAAAAGAATTTGGAAATCAAAGAAATTTAATTTTAAGATGAATGAATTTCCTAGGGCTGGAGATTTAGCTCAGTGGCATTGTGCCAGCCTCACAAGCGCAAGGTCCTGAGTTCAATCCCTGGTACCAAAAATAGAGGAATTTCCTAAAATTATGTGGATTTTTTTTTTTCTTCTTCTTCTTCTTCTTCTCTTAACCATAAGTAGAAGTAAGGCTGGGCACAGTAATTCCAGAAACATGGGAAGCTGAGACAGGAGAATTGCAAGTTCCAGATTAGTCTGGGCAACTCAGCAATCTTGTCAAAATTTTAGACAACTGTTTATTTCTGTTTACAGAAGTAACCATAACTGTTTGTTTGGGTTTTTTTAAGAAATAAATGCCATTTTTTAAAAAATCATATGAAGTTTTATTAGTATGTGTTTACAGTACATAGTGATTGCATTCATAGTAGGGAATTGGTACATGTGCATCACACATCTTAATTCTTTTTACTTCTCAAGTTTTTAAAAATTCTTTTTACTTCTCCTTCCCTCTGTTTTCCCTCCCTTCCACTTCCCTCCCATCTCTTAGTCCCTTTCCCATTTGCAAAACATCTGTCTCTCTATCCTGTTACCTGTCTTTTATTTAGCTCTTTAAATTATGTGTACTTTGTGTTTCTTATATGAGAGAAACTATGCAATATTTAAGCTGTGTGTCTGATTTCACTTAAAATTACGGTCTCAAGGTATGTCTGTTTTCCTACAGATGACTCAAATTTTGCCTTTATGGCAGAGTAGTACTCTGTTGTATATAAATACAACATTTTCTTTATCCATTCATCCATTGATGGACATAATAGGCCACTTCCAAGTTTTAGCTTTTATGAGATGTGCTGCTATGAATTGGGGGCGTGCATGTATTGCTGTAATATGATGGCTTTAACTCTTTTGGGACAATTCCTAAAAGGGAAATAGCTGGGTCAGATGGAATTTCTAGTTTTAATTTTTGCAGACCCTCCATGCTGATTCCATAATAGTTGTACTAGTTCACCTTTCTGCCAACAGTGGAGAAGGTTCCTCTAACTTAGCTTCACCACCATTTGTTATTGGTTGATTTCTTAATGACAGCAATTCTTTCCTAGAGTAAGATGAAATCTAAACATTGTTTTAATTTGCATTTTTCTAATGGCCGGAGATATTAAACATGTCTGCATATACTTATTAGCCATTTGTAGTTCTTCTAAGAAGTGTCTCTTCATTTCAGTTGCCGTTTTTTTAAATTGAGTCTTGTCTTTTTGTTGTTGTTGTTGGTCTTCATATGTTCTAGATGTTAGTCCTCTGTCCAGTAAGTAGCTGGCAAACATTTTTTCTTTTTCCATTCTATAGGTTGTCTCTTCACTATATTGGTTCTTTTGCTGTGCTAAAGCTCTTTAATTTGGATAATCCCATTTGTTGATTCTTGATATTATTTCTTGTGCTGTTGAGATTCTTTCTGTTCACAAAGTCTTTACCTCTTGCTATGTCTTTAAGGTTTGTACCTATTTCCCAGCAGATTAGATCTTTATTCTTTTGGGGGTGTTTTTTGTTTTCTGGGGTTTTTTGTTTTGTTTGTTTGGTTTGGTTTTTTGGTTTTTTGAGACAAGGTCTCACTACGTAGTTGAGACTGACCTGGAACTCACTATGTAGCCCAGGCTGGTCTCGAACTCACAGAGGGATCCTCCTGCCTTAGCCTCCCGACTGCTAGGATTACAGGCATGGGCCACCACGCCCAGCTATTCTTTTGGTTTTTTGAGGCAGGGTCCTGCTATGTAATCCAGACTGGCATTGAACTCAACTATGTAGCCCACAGTGGCCTCGAACTCAGGGCAATCCTCCTGCCTCCGCATCCTGAGTGCTGAGATTACAGGTGTGCGCCATCACGCTCAGCTAGGTCTTTTAATACATGGTGAAAGATATGTGTCTAGATTCATACTTCTCTATGTGTCAAAATAAAAAATTTAAAAAGGCTGGAGATGAGGATGTCTGGGGGGAACTGGGAAAGGGGAAGAGGAGAAAGAAGTAAAAAGGATAAGATGTGATATAGTTTGAACCAATTCTCCATGCTGAACAGCTTCATCGTGTATCAGAAACATACACTAGTTTCTTTTTTAAAAAATTTAAGGTACTGGAGACTGCTGGGAACCAGCACAAGGTAGTTGGTTCAATCCACAGCACCACAAATAAAAAGAAAAAGAGCTTTGAAAGAATTAGCGTATTTCTACCAGTTAAATTTGTTTACATGCATGGGCTAAGGAGCAGTCTATACAGGAGTAACACAGAACTGGCCATGTCTTCACATGAGTGCAGAAAAGCAACAAACAAGTGGCTCAAATGCTGTTTTTCATGAAAATTCTGCTCAACAGGGAATAGAGGGTTTCAGTGAGCTTGTGTTTCAGTCATCTGTCCTGCCAGCATTGCTTGAGTGTGTCACACACGCCTGTGGCCCAAGCCACAGTGGGAGACTCATCCTCAGCTGTCCCCTTCCTTCGGCATGCTCTCCTCATCCTGTTTAGTCTTTAGGAGACCGGATGTAGGGCCGGGGACCTAGCTCAGTGGTTCTGCTGCCTGCTTCTCAAGTGCAAGGTGTACTGAGTTAGGTCCCTGGGACAAAAAAAAAACAGATGTAGGTATTTATAAATTATTGAGCTTTAAAAAATGTTTTCATCTGCTATCATTGTATTTACATGTACTCATTTTTGTCTATTTTTAAGTTGCTTTGCCATTGTAATCATTTTCAATGTGTTTTTCATTTACATTTTTCATTAACATTTTCATTACTTTTTTTTCATACCAGTGTACTGTGTCACTTCACCCAAGAAGGATGGTAGGTATAGGGAGCCACCTCCTACTCCTCCAGGATACATGGGAATTTCTTTAGCCGACCTAAAGGAAGGACCCCACCCGCACCTAAAACCTCCAGAGTATAGTGTGGCCGTGCAGAGGTCAAAGATGGTGCCCAGCAGCCTCTCTAGACCACCAGCCGCCTCTCTCAGTAGCAGCCCCGTGGCCTGCGTCTCATCGAAGATTATAACTCGGCCTCAGAGGCATAATTTGCAGGCCTCCCACCCTAAACTAGCAGATGTGGCTGATCCAGATAGCGAAGCAGATGGTATGTTGGAGACTACCTGAGTGGCTCTTACCTGAATTGCTAAACACAGTAATGGTCTTTACTCTGGTATTTTACAGTGATTTGTAATGGTTTGGGTTTTTGTGTGTGTTTGTGTGTTGTTTTTAATGCCCTAGACATTTCTGTTTAAAAAATTAGCCAAGCTGGGCATGGTGATGCATGCCCTTTAATCCAAGTACTGCGGGAGGCTGAGGCAGGAAGACCACAAAGTCAAGCCACACTGGGCAACATACTGAGACCCTCTCTCAAATTTTAAAAGAGGAGTAAGGGATGGGCAGAGGAAGTAGCTTAGTGCAAGGACCCTGTGTTCATTCCCCAGTGCCAGGGGAAAAAATTTTTTAGCCCAATGCAGTGATGCATTCTTATAATTCTAGCTACTTGGGCAACTGTGGCAGGAGGATTGTAAATTCTAGGTCAGCCTGGGCAACTAAACAAGACCCTGTCTTACAATAAAAAGGTCTGGGATGTAACTCGATGGCAGAGTGCCCCTGAGTTTGATCGCCAGTACCACAAAAAAGAAAAAAAAATCTCTAAATATGATGATGGGTCTTTTTTTGTTTTTGTGTGTGTGTTTTGTTTTTGTTTTTTTATTTTGTACCAGGGATTGAACTCAGGACCTTGTGCTTGCAAGGCAGGCACAGTACCCTTGAACTAAATCCCCGGCCCTATGATGGTATATTTTTTAAAGGGACAAGGCAGATAGTTCATTGAAATACCCTTCTGCTGACTCGTGTAGCATTGTTATATTAGATAGAAAAGCAGCTCATTCTGATAGGATAATTTTGAAGAGTGCTGGGCATCAGTAGAATTGTGTTTTACATTAATGCTTGGAGACATAGAGATGCCAAATTGTTTGGAATGGTGCTATTGATGTAATTCTCCTTATAAACAAACTCTTGACTGACTGTAATTATGGCAATAGTTTGAAGAAATGGTTTGCTTTACTTAATTTTTTTTTTTTTTTTTTTTTTTTTTTTT